ATCATATGCCGGGATCATGCTCATATTTTACTTGCAAAGTGGGATTTTAGAATTCCATTTTCGTTTACGTGTAATCGCTATGGGAAATGTTTTGGTATATCGGTAACGCACTTTGACTTCCGACCTTGAGATCCCGGGTTCGAGTCCGGGTGTCTCCCAAAAAAAAATTCTGAACTTTTTTTTTCTTGTTGACCTTTCACTGTACCATCTCCTTTAATTATTCGAACACGTAGAATCGCAAATAATGTAATAAACAACCCTATTTACTTTATTGTTTCCCTATTTTCACTTAATCCATTACTTTTTGCGTGTAATCCCTGTGGGAGATAATTTTTTTCTCAAATCTGGATTCTACATTCCTGTCTTTTGCGAGCAATATCGCCGTTATTTCTGCTTGGATTTTGTTGATTTTTGAGTACGTTGTAGCTAAGACTATGTGCTATCTAAATCACCCCTCATTTTGTCAATAAGATGTCAGGATCCCGCTCATGATTATGATCTTCATCATGATCATCATGATCATCATTATCATAATGATGATAATCATTTATCAATTACATTTTCATTTCTTTGAATAAGATAAAATCGTCAAAATGTTATCTTCATGATGTAAATTAGAGTCAAAGGTGTAACTGGTTACTGCGCAGGGTCAATGGTCATATTTTTTCAATCTATCTTCCCTAGATCCATAATGATCAAGGGGACACAATTTAAACTTGACATATGGATAGATCTTAATGGATGAAGCATTTCATGAAATAATATGATATCGTGTAATGCATTCTTTATTATGTAAACCATTAGCATACGTATCACCTAATTCGTCAAAGTGACGAATTAAAGTCTAGTTCTTTCTTTCTTTCTTTCTTTCTTTATTAGGTGGTCTGTCGATGACAGATCACCTATTGATTTCGCTAAAATTTTCTTTATTCTTTCTTTATTTCTTTATTTTTATTTCTTCCGTACACTTTTTTGTGCACACGTTTACTCGAAATCGACATAGTCAATTTCCTTTGAATTTCTGTCAGTCATCAAGCCCTATGATTTCAAGTCTAATTAACTTTTTCAAGTTCATGGGGTCATCGTGACGTCATCCAGGCGCCATTTTGTAAAAATCAGGTCATTATCATATCTCGATAACGAGTCATCAAAAATCAACCATATTTAGTATACATCAACTTCAGGTCAAAGGTCAACGAAAAATGTCAAAAAATTCTGCGCGCGCACCTCGACGCGCACGTACGCGCGCATTAAAATTTTAAAATGGTCAAATTCGTTCCAAATTAATTTTGCATACGTTTCAGGCCATTTTAAGCATTTTCAAAAATTTGCGCGCGCGTAATTATGCGCGCGCGTTTCCGCGCGTATCCGCGCGTCCTGGCATTTAACAACATAGAATCGCCAAATTTTTTCTGTTATCATATTTATTACATTAATCCAAGCATTTTGATACCTTGTTTACCTGTTTCCGACCAGTAATACCGCAATTAGCGGCTGTCAAAGTTGAACGCACGCACCGACCTGCGCTATCTGTATCCACAATACATGGGCAAAAACATGCCTATACAAAATTCATTTTAACTCTTCAGAATTGATAGATAACCCCCAATTTCTTTCATATTTAAATAGATTATGAGTTGGAGGTATGATTTCATGTCTCATTTGACCCTCAATTAACTCATGACGTCATCATAATGGCCTCCGAACTCAAAATTTCAATTTGCATATTATAACGTCAGCAGAATTTTGGAAAGTATCTCTGTAAATATTGATCAATTTTCTTTCAAATTTTGATATGTTCTACCTGAGAATATTATCTACAAATGCAGTAACCACGATATTTCATTTTGACAATGGTATCATGGCGTATTTTTGCGATTAAAGGAGGCATGTCAATTTTTTACATTTTGCGTGTATTCTCTATGGGACATGACTTTTTCTCAAAACTGGATTCTACATTCTCGTCTTTCGCGAGCAATATCTCCGTCGTTTTATCTTTGTTTACGCTGAGCTTTGAGTATGTTGTAGCTGAGACAATAAGCTATCACAAGTATGCCCTTTATTTCTCGATCAGATGCCGGGATCATGCTCATATTTCACTTACAAAGTGGGATTTGAGAATTCCATTTTCCGTTTACGCACACGTTTGTGTTCGTAATGGTCGTACGCAACCTAGAATCTCCTTTTTTTTTGTCTATCATAGTATTGCCCATTTTATTCCAAACAATTTGATACCATGTTTATCTGTTTATGACCATTAATAACGAAATGAGCGTCCGTTCAAGGTAAAGTCCGTTCGAACACTCAATTAACTCATGACGTCATCATGATGGCCTCCGTTCAAGGTAAATGTCCGTGCGTGCGAGCTCTTGTGATACATAGCATATATGGGCAAAAACATGCCTATACAAAATCCATTGTAGCTCTTTAGGATGCAAGATGACCCCAATTTTTTTTTCATATCTTGATAAAGTATGAGTCGGAATTATGATTTCATGTCTCATTTGACCCTCAATTAACTCATGACGTCATCATAATGGCCTCCGAACTCAAAATTTCAATTTGCATATTATGACGTCAGAAGATTTTTAGAAAATTGATTGTATCTCTGTAAATATTGATCAATTTTCATCGAAATTTTGATATGTTTTAGCTGAGACAATTCTCTACAGATGTAGTTAACACGAATTTTCATTTTGACGAAAGCATCATGGCGTATTTTTGCGATTAAAGGAGGCATGTCAATTGTTTACATTTTGCGTGTATTCTCTATGGGACATGACTTTTTCTCAAAACTGGATTCTACATTCCCGCCTTTCACGAGCAATATCTCCGTCGTCTTAGCTTTGTTTTCGCTGAGCATCGAGTATGTTGTAGCTGAGACAATAAGCTATCACAAATGTGACATTTATTTCTCGATCAGATGCCGGGATCATGCTCATATTTCACTTGCAAAGTGGGATTTGAGAATGTCATTTTCCGTTTACGTGTAATCGCTATGGGAAATGTTATGGTATATCGGTAACGCACTGGACTTCCAACCTCGAGGTCCCTGGTTCGAGTCTGGGCGTCTCCAACAATCTTTTTTTTTCTTTTTTGACCTTTCACTGTACCATCTCCTTTGAATACTAAAACACGTAGAATCGCAAATCGCATAATTAACAGCCAAATTTACTTTATTATAACCCTATTTTCACTTGTTCCATTACTTTTTGCGTGTAATTCCTAAGGGAGATGACTTTTTCTCAAATCTGGAATCTACATTCCTATCTTCTGCGAGCAATATCGACATTTTTTCTGCATGGATTATGTTGATTTTCGCGTATGTTGTAGCTGAGACTATATGCCATCTAACTGTTCCCCCATTTTTTTCAATCAAATGTCATCATGGTCTGTTGATGATGATCATCAACATCATCATGATCATGATGATCATCATCATCGTCATCACCATTACTATCAAGATCATCATCATCATGATCATCGTCATGATCATCATTGTTTACATGGCTATATAACTTGAAGGCAGACCACCTTATTCGTCCTCGTGACGAATTAAAATCTAGTTTTTATTTCTTCCGTACACTTTTTTGTGCACACGTTTACTCGACATCGACAAGGTCAATTTCCTTCGAAATTTCTGTCAGTCATCAGGTCCTATAATATCAAGTTCCTAAAACCTTTTTCAAGTTCATGGGGTCATCGTGACGTCATCCAGGCGCCATTTTGTAAAAATCAGGTCATTATCATATCTCAATAACGAGTCATCAAAAATCAACCATATTTAGTATACATCAACTTCAAGTCAAAGGTCAACTAAAAATGTCAACAAAATCCGTGCGCGCACCTTGACGCGCACGTACGCGCGCATCAAAATTTGAAAATGCTCAAATTCATTCCAAATTTTTTTGCACACGTTTCAGGCCATTGTAAGCATTTTCAAAATTTGCGCGCGAGCACTTATATTTTTGCGCGTTTCCGCGCGTAACCGCGCGTACTAACATTTTGCAACATGGAATTGCCAAATTTTCACTTTTATATTTATTACATTTTTCCAAGCATTTTGATACCTTGTTCACCTTTTTTTGACCAGTAATAACGCAATGAGCGTCCGTCAAAGTTTACAGTACGCGCGGATCTGCGCTATCTGTATCCACAATACATGTGCAAAAACATGCCTATACAAAATTCATTGTAACTCTTCAGAATGGATGGTTACCCCCCATTTTCTTAAATATTTGGATAGATTATGAGTCGGAGATATGATTTCATGTCTCATTTGACCCTCAATTAACTCATGACGTCATCATAATGGCCTCCGAACTCAAAATTTCAATTTTCATATTATGACGTCAGCAGATTTTTGGAAAATTGATTGTATCTCTGTAAATATTGATCAATTTTCTTTCAAATTTTGATATGTTCTACCTGAGAATATTTTCTACAAATGCAGTAACCACGATATTTCATTTTGACAATGGTATCATGGCGTATTTTTGCGATTAAAGGAGGCATGTCAATTTTTTACATTTTGCGTGTATTCTCTATGGGACATGACTTTTTCTCAAAACTGGATTCTACATTCTCGTCTTTCGCGAGCAATATCTCCGTCGTTTTATCTTTGTTTACGCTGAGCTTTAAGTATGTGTTAGCTGAGACAATAAGCTATCACAAGTGTGCCCTTTATTTTTCGATCAGATGCCGGGAACATGCTCATATTACACTTACAAAGTGGGATTTGAGAATTCCATTTTCCGTTTACGCGCACGTTTGTGTTCGTAATGGTCGTACGCAACCTAAAATCTCCTTTTTTTTTGTCTATCATAGTATTGCCCATTTTATTCCGAACAATTTGATACCATGTTTATCTCTTTATGATCATTAATAACGAAATGAGCGTCCGTTCAAGGTAAATTCCGTTCGAACACTCAATTATAAACTCATGACGTATTTATGATGGCCTCCGTTCAAGGTAAATGTCTGTGCGTGCGAGCCAAAGACGTTTAAATATAATTACTAGACGGAAAGCAGCACGCGCGGAAACCATGCAGACGAATGTGATTAGGCTCCGCCTCTTTTGGATCATTTGAAGACAAAATAAGCACCCGAGGCGGCTTTTTGATTGGATATGAGCCTCATGAATATGTATTTTATCGATAGTATCGTTTAAGAAACCGGATAATATATTTGACCTCATTGCGTCACTTTAATTATGCAGATTTATGCACGACGCAGGCTACTCACACAAACTGAGAAGATTTAGTTCATTGAGAATGGGTGAGTAATTGATTGAAATATGAGTAGATTAAGTGAATTTAGTCATCAATTTTGAAAAAGCTGCAATAGTCTTTGTGATCTACGGTAATTTCGTTACATTGTGAGACCGTTCTCAACAGATTTTTGGGGAAAAGACTAGGAAATTATTGCTCTTGAAATTGAACTTTGATTTTCATCGTCATGAAGTAGTTTGACTGCGGTTTGCCGTCATTTCACCCTAGTAGTAGTACTCCAGTTAGGGGCCCGGCCGTTCGGCCAGGCCCACCCCGGGGAATTTCGGTGATCATCTGCATCAAGATCAAACTTTCTAATCAAGTTTTATTTGAGATTTGATCGTCATCATGAATCTAATTCACCAATCATCGATTTAATTTAAATATAGATTTAACGTTACACCTTACAATAATCTCTGAAGCATGATTTTTTTGATAATCCAAGTGGATTAATTCTTGTTAAAATCTTTAGTAGATGTTGACTCTAATGGCTTTACTTATCAGTGCCATCCGTTCGCTCAGTTGCATCCGTGTCAACTTTATATAGACCAAAATTATCTGTGACCATTGATAATCAAACAACTCCAAATCCTATTTCATTTAGATGTAAACCTGGAACTTATTAATAAAAAGTATTCAAAAAACATCAACACTAGGATTTCTTTATTTAATAATTAGATTTTGTGTGGGTCCAGCATGCTTGTCAAGTTATCATTAGAGTCTAGGCCTTGACCTTACTAGAGTCTACTAGATCTAGATCTAGACCACTATCAGTGGCGTACGCAGGATTTTTTCAAGGGGGAGGGGGGGGGGTTAACATTTTGAAATCGGACCAAAAATTTCGCAACGACTCAGCCAGCCACTGAATAAGCATGGGGGGGGGGTTTAGGTCATCCATTTGGATTTTTTTTTTTGTATTAAAAAAACAAAAACAAAAAAACAACACTAAAAAAGGGGGGGGGGTTCAAGAAAAACATACACATAAAAAAAAATGAAGGTAGGGGGGTTTACCCCCCCCCCCCCTGCGTACGCTTCTGACTCCTGTTTTTACTTTTAATATATTATTAGAGATTTTTTTCTTTGAATTGTGCAGTTCATGTTGATAAATCTATTTGTGTAAGAGAAGACCCCTTGTCCACAATTATGTTTACTTATGAAGTCCACTTCTTCTTGTCTTAATAAACCAATTCTACTTAAGACTACTTTATATTTATAGGCCATATGAAGCACTTTTTGAGGCACAAGTTAAATCTTCCATTTGATTTTACTTTGTACTGTGGTCCATTAAATTGGAATGTTGATTTCCACACTATATTAAAATTAAGGCCAACCATGACATGAAAAATAGCTTTTATGCTAGATCTATTTTTATTTTGTTAAGGAGAAAGGGACGCCTTGATTTTCGTATTGATTTTGTTTTCTTTTTGTTCCAACAGATGGAAACTGATGAAGAGCTGGAAGGAGCTAACTGATGAGTAGACATTACAACATTTCTTATATTTTCAAGATGAAGCTGAAAGTCCCATGCAGGTAAAATTTTCAGGATATTTAGCACACAAATATTAAACGACCACCTATTAATTCACTAAAAAGGAAATGGAACTAAGTGTATGTTTCAAGTGTGTATAGTGGAGGGAATATTTTATTCTAGTTCTTCCCTTTCTTTGTTTACAAAGGGGTTTGTCCTTATTTACAGGAGGTCCTGTGTGTAGAAGAACGATGTCTAATGCACATTCAAAGCACTACATAATAATGATAATGATCATACATGTAGGGTATACACAGGACCACTCATTACCTTTTTTTTGTAAGTGGTCCTTTCACATCTTGAGCGATGAAGATGAAGAAGAACACAACATAAGATTAACGAAAGTCTGTTTATACGATGAATTATGGTTGATATGTATCTATTATTATCACTTTTTAATTGAAGTACCTACATTGCTTTCTCTTATGTAGGATGATGCTTCTCTACAGTGGATGATGAAAGCATGCTGATTACAAGCCCAGGAGAGGAATAAAGAACAGATATTGACAGAATCATATCTAGAGATGTGGGCCTACTGCACTTCATACAAGCAAGTGTGCTAATATACCATGTAGGTACCCCCAATAAACTATTGTAGGACACATTTATCATGCAGAAAGTTATAGATCTGACAATTATATTTTTCATTGTCCATTGACTTGTAAAAGAATACTTGACTGAATATCACAATTGTGATTTAGATTAAAACTAAAATGTCAATATACATGAAATATAAGTCTACATCACGTATGTTTCCGACAATAGCATTATTTCCTGTACATTCTCTGTTCCAAGTTGTTTGGTCATTTTATGTAAACCGAGTATTATTCATTTATGACCACAAGTTTACATTACAAGTACATTGTACATGTACCAGTATTACTTATTTCATACTTGTCTGATCCAAGCTCCATCAGGCCTATTGTCTTAATGGGATCATCAGAAATAATCTAACATGTGGTCAGTAACTAGTTTTGTAGGAAAAAAAGTTTAGGTTTTCCCACTAGAACCCCAAGTGAATATTAGTCCTTCCTCTTTTTGTCAGAGCAGGTATCAGGGTGTATGTTATTAGTTGTTGTTTATTTTCTTATACACTGTATCTTATTTCATTTTTCCATTCAACAGACTTGGGATATCATCACAGCCCTTTCTTCTGAAAACTAGCCTACAACTTAATCGATGAATGCAGAAGACATCTACATGGGACTACGTCTTAAAGATGCCCCCTCATATAATGAAAGAGGACAGTAGAGATGGGTTTAATCTTGAATATTTACATACTATTTATTTATTATTTGTATTATATGTTTGTAGAATACCACATTTAAAAAAAGCTAATGAATTTATCATCTTGTCAACTTTCAAATAATTAAAGATAACTAATCATCAATGAATAAACATTAATGACATTTTAACAATGTCAACTACCATCTTATAGGATGGAACTGAGTGCTGGGCAGAAAGAAATTTCCTTGAAATTTGAGTGATAAATATTTATCAGTCTATATCAAAGATTGAATCAATCAATGATATTTATAATTATAATTATACATGTTGAAATTCATTTACCTCAGTCTATGGACTTCTGTATTTGAAGTTTTGTAGATTATTACATTATTGCTGCTTCAAGTATTGTATGTAAGAAGGTTTGAAAGACAACCCTCTAAATGCACTAAATATGGAAACTGCTAATCATCATTGCCTGTTGTATCCAAACTGCTAATTTTAATAGAATCATGTTTTGATACTTCCTAGCTTAAGAAAACAGTGGGGGGGGGGGGGAACAATATTATATTTGTTATATGTTTATATTAGAAGGATTTAGAAAATGAAAACGTTTTGAATTATAGAATTACTGTTGCTAGAAGTAATGGCAGTATTGATGTGTAAGGGAAGGGGTGGTTTTCCCAGTGAAATTAACGGTATACCAATGTCAAATTGATAAAAAAGAGAAAACTATTCCTAAAAATAAAATTATAAAGGACATGGGCCTCCCAACTAACTAACCCTGGTACCACTCCTGTTTTTTTTGTTTTTTTTGAGAGGGGGGGGGGCGCCCCAATTCAAAATTTCCAGTGTTAAATTCCATTGTCTTTAAACAAAAAATATGTCAAGATATTGAAAAACAATGTTTCACTTTCCGTTTTCAATTCGAATAAAATGATTAACATATTTTCCGATCTCTCTGGTCTCTGCATTAAAAATGTTCAAAGCTCCTGCAAAGGCTGCAAAAAGGAAAAGTGGAGATAATCCAAGTGAAATGTGGACAGTAATGGAGTGAATATGGATCAATGGTTGATCGTAGTTGATAACGAGTAAATGTAAATGAATAGTATTACGACTGAGAGTGAGACAGAAAGGAACTGCAACAGATTGTTCAGTCAAGACAACAAACCGTTAGTTGCAGAAGATAATTTACGAAAGACAGAGAAAGAGAGAGAAGGGGAATCATTAAGGTACGATGAGATTGGGTGGAGAAAAACCATCTTCTTTGCCACATAATTTGTTTGTATAAAATAAGGACACTTTATACATTAGCATATAGCCAGAGAATGTGTTGTTATATGGCTTATAGCATGTTTGAGTTAATAAAACAAAAACAGACCCAGTTATTGATAGACTAAAAAGGGAATAAGATCGGATCAGTATTTCTTATTCAATGAGTTAAGGCCACTCCCCATATTAAAAAACAACAACAACACAACAACGAGAGGCCGGTCCACTTCCCGATGCATTCTGGGTACACCAGCTGTTATACTGGTGATCGATAATACAAGTTTGAGCGCGTATTTCACCTAACGGTGATCGCATCAGAATAATCTACGCTGATTCGCTGAATCACTTGCGTTGCTAGCGCGCAGCGTGATGAATAAATTACCCATAATTCCGTACAGTAGATTATTTGACCTCTCTAATTACGCTGATACGCGTATCGTCTTTTACCATGTAGTGAACATCATTCCAGTACACGTTTCGTGGGGAGCATCCTTCAGAATGCATAATTCATAGGGCTCATGAATTATGCAAGGAGGCTTATTTTGGCTTCTAATGGATTCGGACAAAATGGCGGAGCTTGGGGGGCCTGGTGCGAGCTCTTGTAATACATAGCATATATGGGCAAAAACATGCCTATACAAAATCCATTGTAGCTCTTTAGGATGCAAGATGACCCCAATTTTTTTTTCATATCTTGATAAAGTATGAATCGGAAATATGATTTCATGTCTCATTTGACCCTCAATTAACTCATGACGTCATCATAATGGCCCTCCGAACTCAAAATTTCAATTTGCATATTATGACGTCATCATATTTTTAGAAAATTGATTGTATCTCTGTAAATATTGATCGATTTCATCCAAATTTTGATATGTTTTAGCTGAGACAATTCTCTACAGATGCAGTATCCACAAATTTTCATTTTGATGAAAATATCATGGCTTTTTTTTGCGATTAAAGGAGGCATGTCAATTTTTTACATTTTGCGTGTATTCTCTATGGGACATGACTTTTTCTGAAAACTGGATTCTACATTTCCGTCTTTCACGAGCAATATCTCCGTCGTCTTAGCTTCGTTTTCGCTGAGCATCTAATATGTTGTAGCTGAGACAATAAGCTATCACAAATGTGACATTTATTTCTCGATCAGATGCCGGGATCATGCTCATATTTCACTTGCAAAGTGGGATTTGAGAATTCCATTTTCCGTTTACGTGTGATCTCTATGGGAAATGTTTTGGTATATCGGTAACGCACTTGACTTCCGACCTCGAGGTCCCTGGTTCGAGTCCGGGTGTCTCCAACAATTTGTTTTCTTCACTTTTTTTTCTTTTTGACCTTTCACTGTACCATCTCCTTTGAATATTAAAACACGTACAATTGCAAATAATGTAATAAACAACCATATTTACTTTATTATCCCCTATTATCACTTGATCCATTACTTTTTGCGTGTAGTCCCTATGGGAGATGACTTTTTCTCAAATCTGGATTCTACATTCCTCTCTTTTACGAGCAATATCGCCGTTATTTCCGCTTGGTTTTTGTTGATTTTGGAGTATGTTGTAGCTGAGACTATATGCTATCTAAAAGTGTCCCCTCATTTTTTTCAATCTGATGTCATCATGGTCTGTTGATGATGATCATCAACATCATCATGATGATGATGATCATCATCATCGTCATCACCATTACTATCAAGATCATCAGTATCATGATCATCATCATGATCATCATTGTTTACATGTCTGTATAACTTGAAGGCAGACCACCTTATTCGTCCTCGTGACGATTTAAATTCTAGTTTATTTTTATTTATTCCGTACACTTTTTTGTGCACACGTTTACTCGGAATTGACATGGTCAATTTCCTTCAAATTTTTGTCAGTCATTAAGCCCTATAATTACAAGTTTAATTTACTTTTTCAAGGTCATTAGGTCATCGTGACGTCATCCAGGCGCCATTTTGTAAAAATCAGGTCATTATCGTATCTCAATTATGAGTCATGAAAAATGAACCATATTTGGTATACATCAACTTCAGGTCAAAGGTCAACTAAAAAAGTCAACAAATTCCGTGCGCGCACTTCGACGCGCACGTACGCACGCATCAAATTTTTAAAATGCTCTAATTCGTTTCAATTTTTTTTTGCACACGTTTCAGGCCATTGTAAGCATTTTAAAAATTTGCGCGCGTGTAATTATGCGCGCGCGTCCTGGCATTTTGCAACATAGAATCGCCAAATTTTTTCTGTAATCATATTTATTACATTTTTCAAAGCATTTTGAAACCTTGTTTACCTTTTTCCGACCAGTAATAACGCAACTAGCGGCTGTCAAAGTTGAACGCACGCGCCGACCTGCGCTATCTGTATCCACAATACATGGGCAAAAACATGCCTATACAAAATTCATTTTAACTCTTCAGAATGGATAGATACCCCCCAATTTCTTTCATATTTAAATAGATTATGAGTTGGAAATATGATTTCATCTCTCATTTGACCCTCAATTAACTCATGACGTCATCATAATGGCCTCCAAACTCAAAATTTCAATTTGCATATTATGACGTCAGCAGATTTTTAAAAAATTGATTGTATCTCTGTAAATATTGTCCAGTTTTCTTTCAAATTTTGATATGTTCTACCTGAATATATTCTCTACAAATGCATTTGCCACAATATTTCATTTTGACAATGGTATCATGGCGTATTTTTGCGATTAATGGAGGCATGTCAATTTTTCACATTTTGCGTGTATTCTCTAAGGGACATGACTTTTTCTCAAAACTTGATTCTACATTCTCGTCTTTCGCGAGCAATATCTCCGTCGTTTTAACTTTGTTTACGCTGAGCTTTTACTATGTTGTAGCTGAGACAATAAGCTATCACAAGTGTGCCCTTTATTTTTCGATCAGATGCCGGGATCATGCTCATATTTCACTTACAAAGTGGGATTTCAGAATTCTATTTTC